CTAACCCGTGTTAAAATTCTCATGAACACACAGCAGGTGTAGTTTTAATCCATGTTAGCTGGGCAAGATAAACCTCAGACTCCTCCTGAAAGTTTACCTCATTCTGATAAAATGGATTAAAATTACACTGGCCTTGTCCTCAGTAGGATTTTAACAGGTATATTTTAACTAAAGCTAACTACCCAGTGTTAAAATCCTAGTGAAGACAAGGCAATTGGAGTTTTAATCCATGTTAGTGGGTCCTGGTAAATTGTTCAGGGATTTTAACAAAGGTTAGTTAACATGAATGAAAAATATAACTTTTTCCTAGTGAAGACACAGCTGCAATAAAACTACCACTAAAGGGTATAGCTACTGTGTCAGAGTAAGAATGTCAAGACCCAGTCCAATGGGATATATATCCCAAGATATATTCCAACAGAAATTGACATAAATTTGGAAAGGAGAAAAAAAAGTGAAAACAAACTTCCGCAGAGGCCTTTGAATTCATATAAATTCAATACATGCAATTATTTTACCAGTGTTTTAAGCTACGTCTGCACTATGATCTAGGGATGTGATTCTCCTGCTTGGGTATACATTAGGGTTCCCAACTTTGGTTGGATATATTCCTGGAGATTTCAGCAGATGACATAATCTTTAATGAAAGATAAATATTAAATTCCTGGACACTACAGGACAATCATAGAATATCAGGGTTGGAAGGGACCTCAGAAAGTCATCTAGGTCTAACCCCCTGCTCAGAGCAGGACCAATCCCCAGACAGTTTTTTGCCCCAGATCCCTAAATGGCCCCGTCAAGGATTGAACTCACAACCCTGGGTTTAGCAGGCCAATGCTCAAACCACTGAGCTACCGCTCCCCACTGAAAGGTTGGTAACCCTAGTACATATACATGTTAGCTCTCATCAAGCTATCATGAGTATAAAAGCAGTATAGCCATGGTTGCAAGGCTATAGGCAACGGAGTACATAGTACATAGCCACCAGTTTCAGGCAGCTTTGCTATTTATACTCGTGCTAGCTCAATGACACCTAGAGAGAGTATACATATAACAAGCAGAGGAATCACACCCCTACCTCATAATGTAGACATAGCTTTAGCTGGGTAACACTCACTGAAAGTTCTGTACACCATTATATAGTGTAAAAAGCAACAGAGTTGTTCTGACGAAGTGGGTATTCACCCACGAAAGCTTATGCTCCAATACATCTGTTAGTCTTAAAGGTGCCACAGGACTCTCTGTTGCTTTTTACAGATCCAGACTAACACGGCTACCCCTCTGATACTTGACATTATATAGTGGTGTACTTAAATGTACATATTTATTTCAACATCTATGTACAACTGTTCAACAGCTGTATTTGGCATTTTTGCTCTTATAATTCAGAGGATAAGTAGCTAGAAGAGTCAGAAAAACTCCAAAGCTATAAAAAAAAATGCAGAAAATCTTTTCTATTGAAAGCACAAGTCAAAGTGTGATTTTAGCCAGAGTAGTGGCCCTAAGGATGGCACTGTAGCAACCACTATTTATTCTCTCAATAACTTCCATAACACATTTGCTCAGCAGACAAGTCAAACATGGATTGTTATAATTGCTACCGTTGCCATTCAATCTGATCTGAAAAATCAAACTACATCCTCCAACTCTTACATCACCATCACCACCGCAAATGATAATAAAAATTGTCCAATCAGGAGCTTATCTGACAATGATGATGATGTATAACTAAGGCAAAATAGAATTTAACACTCTCCCATAGTGGTACAGGCTCTGCCATGCAAGCACCAGTAAAAGCTCATCTTTTTATCAAGTAAGTGTAATGCCAACAGACCCCGATCGTCGGCAGGCGGGATCAAACCAGGGACCTCAGTGCATGAGCCTCTACTGCATGAGATAAAATCCAACTGGTTGTTAGCTAAGGCTGTAGAACAGACTCTCTCTCTCTCTCTCTCTCTCTCTCTCTCTCTCACAGTGGTCTCGGTGGCACTAGAGGGGACAGAACACCACACCCAGACGGTGTGTGGGTTACATAAGCAGATATGTCTCAGACAGTATGCCTTCACTAAAGCACTGCAGGTGTAATTTCCACCTTAGATAGACATATCCACCTTTGCTCTGATTGAGCTAGTGTGCTAAAAAGAGAAGCGAATCCACACTGGCATAAGTGGCAGGAGAGTCTAGCCACTCAAGTATGATCCCATCTGAAAACAAAAGGTAATACTTGGGTGGCTAGCCCCTCCCGCTGCCACGGATATACTTCTATTTTTAGTGCACTAGTGTGGGTATGTCTACCCAAGCTGGAAATTACACCTTCCAGCTTTGGTGCAGACATACTCAAAGGCACACAGAAACAGTAGATATGATAAGACTATGATAGCTTTCTCCTGAGTGCCTCTGGTTCCGTGCACAGGGATATCTAGGCAGAAGAAACTTCCAAGTCTTAATATGTGGATGAGAAGATCATATCAAAGGAGGCGTTTACATTTTCTGTGCACTAGGAAACTTTTATGGGAAGAAAGTACTTAGACAGATTTGACTGGTTCCATCTTAACCACAGTGGAATCTTGCTATTGAAACAGCAAATTGGCAACTGTTGGGAGATTATTTAAACTAGGAGCTCAGTAAAAACAAATAGGTACACCTCTACCCTGATATAACGCGACCTGATATAACATGAATTCGGATATAACGCGGTAAAGCAGCGCTCCGGGAGGAGGGGGGGGGGCTGCGCACTCCGGTGGATTAAAGCAAGTTCGATATAATGCAGTTTCACCTATAACGCGGTAAGATTTTCTGGCTCCCGAGGACAGCGTTATATTGAGGTAAAGGTGTACTGAGGAGTACTCAAGTTAGTCAAAAAAATATGCTAAGGATGTCAATAACCTAAAGGTATCTTTGTATCCAATAAAGGGTAGGGCAGAAATGATAGCTGAATTGGAGAAGGAACCAGCTTGAGATCAGAGAGGTAAGTTTCAAAAAAAAAAAAAAAAAAAAAAGGGTGTGGCAAGGACAAAGGAATTAAATAATATATGGACATGGCAAATAAAATGAAACCAAACCTACACGTCTCTATACCAACCAGTATGCCTGGCAATGAAGATGACCTTGAAATAATAGGCATCTCTGAAATATGTTGCAATGACAAAATAAAATATACTATAAATTATACAGGAAGGATAGGTTAGGTTGCAGAGGTGGGGGGAATAGCACTATATCAAAATTATTCCCATAGAATCTAATGAGAACCATACAGTAGGGTCCATATGGATAAAAATGCTAAGCAATAAGAATACAAATGTTTTGGTAAGGTCATACTACTGACCTCTTGATCAGAAAAAGTATGCTAAGCGCACAATGCTGAGGGAAATCAAAAAGGTAACAAAATATAATGATGTTGCAATAATGGGTGACTTCAACTGCCTGCATATTTGAATAATTAAATATCACAAGTTTTAGAGAATTTGGCACCTTAAACAACTGCTTCTTGGAACAACTTCACAAAAGGAGAGGTTGTTAAGTATTTAAAGTTAAAGGATGTAATTAATAGCAGTATTCAGGGTAATTCCTATAGTAACTCTAATGATATACAAGGGAGTAGTGCAGGTCTTGGCACGAGATTATCAATTTTTCTTAGGCAAAATTGGCAAGTTTCTGAGAGCCACCTGTGTGTGTAAATTTAGGTATGACACTGCCAAAATGCAACATTTTCACAGTAATTAAGACTGACATCTTAATGGTAATGAAAATACCTTGTGCTGGAGGGAGGCAAGTGAGGGCAGTTGTGATTTGTGGGTATTAAATATGTATCCATTTCACATCCCTTGACCGATGAGATTTGCAACAGCAAAAAGACACACCTCTGCTTTCAACATGCCTTCTGAAATCGCATACAAACATTTTCAAAGGTTGTACCTTTTTTGCTTTTGTCTATCTCTCTCCTTCTTTGAGGACGATCCCAAATGCTGACCTTTCTCCAGCTCTTCTCCAGCTGCTTTCAGGACCCTACCCTGAACTGAGGTAGGCAGTTTTGCAATCAAGGGAGCCACCAACCATACGCCTCGACGTTCAGAAGAGCTAAAAGCAGAATCACAAACTTATTTCATCCAAAATCTCAATCTACTCTTCACATCACTCTCAGTCATTGTAACCAATGCAATGAGACAGATGATATAGTTTTTCTGGGATAGCTAGCATTTGCTGAGCAGCCACAAATGCTACATTCCAAAAATTCTGGGATAACACCAATGTTTACTGTTGAACAAAAGTAAAAAACCAGTAACCTTCAGGTAGCATTTCCTGAACATTCCCATTTCAAGTGCAAAAAGCCTTTATAAGTTTCAAAATTTTCATTTCATTCTATGCATTATTAACCATTATGTCAGTTAAAATAATTAAAATGGTGCTACACAAAAATACCTTAGGAATGTCTTTTTACCATTCTGTCTTGTATTACTTGTGTCAGCATTTCCAACAGAGTTTGGATTGAAGAGGCCTATACCAGAGTTAGAAGAGTTATTGTTTAGATCAGCGGATTGCTGAAACACCTCTATTGTCGCCTTTGCAATATTATCCAACAAGCTGTTCATTTCAGCCACAGACCCAGAACCCTACAGTGAAACATAAGTAAACTAGCATATTCATGGTATGTTTGCTCGTGTACTAGGTTCAAATTTTACATACTTTATTAAATTAAATATTTTATAAGTACATTAAAAGAACCAAATACTTACAGGCTCCTTCATGCACTGTTTGATCATTAGCTGGAGCTCCAACCAAGATTGCCTGAGAGTCCATTGATCTAAGTTCTGAGTAAAATTATTAAAATGAAATACGTGTGTCAAGTTTATTGTAGAAATTTTTTAACTCTCTTAATTGGAACAATTAAAATCATGTCACTACAGTAGATTATCACACTGATCTTTAAAACTTTGGAAGCTGTAAGTTTTTCAAAGCAATTCAAGGACCTATCAGCCCAGTCGTTATCCCTTTGCATTCTCCCTACCCCCAAAATCAGCTCATCAATATTTTTAACCAGTTCAAATTTTCTGATGCAGCAAGGGCTGTTCATTACAAATTGTATTGACAAAACTATCAAAAACTGAATTCACCGACACGATGGTTTGTCATCAATGCAGACCAAATCAAGTTCAACATTATGTCACCTAAATATGATTAAACTATAATCCCAATAGGGTTTGATCATAATTATCTGATGTGAGGATGAATATGATTTGACCTTGTCCACACTGGTCAGCATCATGTTAGCTAACTCAATTCTTCACAATGGTATTCAAACATGATACAATTTTCTAGTGAAGACATGTCCAGAGAGGAAGTAGATGGTAAAACAACCCATTAGGCTTGAAATCACTGTTGTAACAAAGTAAACACAATTCTGTATTCTTCTAAACATTGTCCTGTAGTTAATGTGTTCTTGGCTTTAGTACCTCCTACTATTTACATACAGTCATTTGGATGCAATGGGAGTTCCTGATCTTCTTATGTATTGCATATGAAATTAACACCACAAATGTGATGATGTGAAAGTAATCCGCTGTATCTATCCTGGAAGTGGTAATTACATGGCTAAAATCATGCTGTCAGTTATGTTTTCTAGGGGGCTCTGTAAGTGGTTATTTTCCACTATCAAATTTTATATTAGAGTAAAAAACAAGAACCTGAATGGGTGAATAAACAATTTCCAAATCAAATCAATACCAAAAATAAAGCCACCTCTCAACTACTGTAGATTGTTAATTGAGAGTAGATTATTTTCCCATTGACACACTGGGGCTTTACACAGGTGCAGTAATTTCCGTAAGTGTTTTTCATTTATTTTCCCAACATGAACAGGGGAAACAGAACCTCGAGGTAATTCCATTATTAGGCTGGGATTTACCACCTGAAGAATGGATAGGGGGTTTGGTCCCTGTCCACTGTCTACCATGCTAATATTGTTTCTTGTTTCCGTGTATTCCCTCATTTGTCTGTATCCAGCCATTGTCTTTTCTTATACATAGATTAGAAGCTCCTTGGGGCAGGGATGGTCTTTTTGTTCTGTGTTTGTACAGCTCCTAGCACAATGGGGTCCTGGTGGATGACTAGGGCTCCTAGGCACTATGGTAACACAAATAATAAATAACAAAGATATCTGGGGATTGGCTGGAGTTCAGGGCTGTGTGCAAAACCCTGTGCCTCTGCACTGGTTCATGTATCTTGCAACAGAGCTGTCCTGCCAGCAATGTCTCCACCCACTGCTGCCCTGGAACCCACCTCAAAGACAGCACAGAGATTGTTTTTACCTAACAGTTAATACAGCCCCAGAATTGATTCACTTTTCACTGGATTCCCTGGTGATTGCTAGGATGGGGTGGGAGTGATTAGAATAGTGCCTCTGTCTTTTCCACAAGTAGATCCCTGACTCCTCTGGAGAACCCTCTGTGGTATTGGGGGTGGGAGGTGCTGGGGAGACATCAGACCACTTTCTCTTTTCCATAAAGGGTAGGGACTCTTTTCACATAGATCAGCTTGGTGTGACCTGGCACACATTCTGGTGTTTGGGCGTATATGGAAAGCAAGGGAAGTTACACCTGATGAGTGTTTACTGTACATAATAATTCCCACATGCAGATCTGAATAATTAGAGTTTGCAGGCATGATGTGACTGCACCCTAATAGGCTATACGCTGAACTGACATGTTTCCAGACCAGGGTTCATAGAGGGTCAATCATTCTGTTGGAGGAAACAGACAGCCACCAGATATCTACAGCGTAATATGCTTCTTGGAGCAACTGGTCCTGGAACCCACCAGAGGAGAGGCAATTCTTGATTTAGTCCTAAATGGAGCAAAGGATATGGTCCAAGAGGTGAATATAACTGGACCGCTTGGTAATAATGACTATAATATGAATAAGTTTAATATCCCTATGGCAGGAAAAAACACCACAGTGGCCTAACACTGTAGCATTTAATTTCAGAAAGGGGAACTACACAAAAATGAGGAGGTTAGTTAAACAGAAATTAAAGGGTACAGCGCCAAAAGTGAAATCTCTGCAAGCTGCGTGGAAACTTTTTAAAGACACTGTAATAGAGGCTCAACTTAAATGTATACCCCAAATTAAAAAACATAGTAAGAGAACCAAAAAAAGAGCCACCATGGCTAAACAACAAAGTAAAAGAAGCAGTGAGAGACAAAAAGGCATCCTTTAAAAAGTGGAAATTAAATCCTAGTGAGGAAAATAGAAAGGAAGGGGGATAAACACTGGCTAATGAAGTGTAAAAATACAATTAGGAAGGCCAAAAAAGAATTTGAGGAACAGTTAGCCAAAGACTCAAAAAGTAATAGGAATTTGTTTTTAAGTACATCAGAAGCGGGAAGCCTGCTAAACAACCAGTGGGGCCACAGGACGATCAAGGTGCTAAAGGAGCACTCAAGGATGATAAGGCCATTGCGGAGAAACTAAATGAATTCTTCGCATCCGTTTTCATGGCTGAGAATGTGAGGGAGATTCCCAAACCTGAGCCATTCGTTTTAGGTGACAGATCTGAGGAACTGTCCCAGATTGAGGTATCATTAGAGGAGGTTCTGGAATAAATTGATAAATTAAACAGCAATAAATTACCAGGACAAGATGGTATTCACCCAAGAGTTCTGAAGGAACTCAAATGTGAAATTGCAGAACTACTAACTGTAGTCTGTAACCTATCATTTAAATCAGCTTCCGTACCAGATGACTGGAGGATAGCTAATGTGATGCCAATTTTTAAAAAAGAGCTCCAGGAATGATCCTGGCAATTACAGGCCTGTAAGCCTGACTTCAGTACCAGGCAAACTGGTTGAAACTATAATAAAAAACAATATTGTCAGACATATAATAGATGAACATAATTTGTTGAGGAAGAGTCAACATGGTTTTAGTAAAGGGAAATCATGCCTCATCAATCGACTAGAATTCTTTGAGGGGGTCAACAAGCATGTGGACCAAGGGGATCCAGTGGATATAGCGTACTTAGATTTTCAGAAAGCCTTTTACAAGATCCCTCACCAAAGGCTCTTACGCAAAGTAAACTGCCACGAGATAAGAGGGAAGGTGCTCTCATGGATTGGTAACTGGTTAAAAGATAGGAAACAAAGGGTAGATATAAATGGTCAGTTTTCAGAATGGAGAGAGGTAAATAGTGGGATCCCCCAGGGGTCTGTTCTGGGACCAGTCCTATTCAACATATTCATAAATGAGCTGGAAAAAGAGGTAAATAGTGAGATTTTGCAGATGATACAAAATTACTAAAGATAGTTAAGACTCAGGCAGACTGCGAAGAGATACAAAAGGATCTCTCAAAACTGATGACTGGGCAACAAATGTCAGATGAAATTTAATGTTGATAAATGCAAAGTAATGCACATTGGAAAGCATAATCCCAACTATACATATAAAATGATAGGGTCTAAATTAGCGGTTACCACTCAAGAAAGAGATCTTGGAGTCATTGTGGATAGTTCTCTGAAAACATCCACTCAATGTGCAGCGGCAGTCAGAAAAGCGAACAGAATGCTGGGAATACTTAAGAAAGGGATCGATAATAGGACAGAAAATATCATGTTGCCTCTATATAAATCCATGGTACGCCCACATCTTGAATACTGTCTGCAGATGTGGTTGCCCCATCTCAAAAAAAATATATTGGAATTGGAAAAGGTTCAGAAAAGGGCAACAAAAATGATTAGGGGTACAGAACGGCTTCCATATGAGGAGAGATTAATAAGACTGGGACTTTTCAGCTTGGAAAAGAGACGACTAAGGGGAGATATGATTCAGGTCTATAAAATCATGACTGGTGTAGAGAAAGTAGATAAGGAAGTGTTGTTTACTACTTCTCATAACACAAGAACTAGGGGTCACCACATGAAATTAATAGGCAGGTTTAAAACAAATAAAAGGAAGTATTTCTTCACGCAATGCACAGTCAACCTGTGGAACTCCTTGCCAGAAGGTGCTGTGAAGGCCAAGACCATAACAGGGTTCAAAAAAGAACTAGATAAATTCATGGAGGATAGGTCCATCAATGGCTATTAGCCAGGATGGGCAGGAATAGTGTCCCTAGCCTCTGTTTGCCAGAAGCTGGGAATGAGCGACAGGGAATGGATCACTTGATTACCTGTTCTGTTCATTCACTCTGGGGCACCTGGCATTGGCCACTGTCGGAAGACAGGATACTGGGCTAGATGGACCTTTGGTCTGACCCATTAGAGCCATTCTTATGTTCTTATGTAATACTTTATCATCTAAATCAGCATTTTTAAAAGTTCGTGTCGCGACCCAGTACTGGGTCATGGCATGTAAGGCACTGGGTTGCTCTGATCAGCACCGCCGACCGGGCCGTTAAAAGTCCCATTGGCAGTGCTGCCCAGCTGAGGCAGGATAGTGCCTACCTGTTCCAACACCGCGCTGCACCCCAGAAGCAGCCAGCATCAGGTCCGGCTTCTAGGCAGGGGGGCCATGGGCCTCCGCACGCTGCCCCCGCCCCAAGCACCGGCTCCGCACTCCCATTAGCCAGGAACCGGCCAATGGGAGCTGGGGGGGGAGGGTGATGCCTGCGGGCAAGAGGCGCACGGAGCCGCTTGTGCGCCTCCGCCTAGGAGCCAGACCTGCCGCCAGCTGCTTCAGGCGCAGCCTGCCTCTGCACCACAGCTGCGCCGCTGACTGGAAGCCACCAGAAATAAGTCCGCACCCCAATCCTCTACCCCACCCCAAAGCCTGCATCCCCAGCTCAGAGCCCTGACCCCCTCATGCACCCCAACCCCCTGCCCCAGACAAGAACCCCCTCCAAACCCGGAGCCCTGCCAACACCCCAAACTCCTTATCCCCAGCCCCGTTGGGTCATGGGCATCAACAATTTTCTTCAACTGGGTCCCCAGAAAAAAAGTTTGAAAACCACTGATCTAAATTTCTGAATGCCATTAGTGCCAGCAGCAGCAGAAAAGAGGAAGGAGACTGAACTGATTGAAAGAGAGCTCTCCACACCAGGAGCTCTCTGCCAGTATTGCATACTCGTATTACTATAATGGTCAAACACTCCTAGACTAGACATGGACTAGGTCTCGAAACTCTGGCCAATATACTTTGTGCTTCTAATAGAGGATGAAATACATAAATGGACAAACCTGGATTTGATTTTGGAGCGTACGCTTGAATAGAAACTTTTGCTGGTCAATAAAAGTACTTGACAGGAAATGCCTATCAACTACAAAAAACAGGGAGAAAGGGAACTGAGGATTGTCAGCTCTTCTGCTTTCGGTTGGGGCTGGAGCCTGACTCACGATGACATAAGCAGCTCCAGCCCTTGCATGAATTTCAGCCCTGTCTGGGCGGGAAATCCCCTCTGATTGGCCACTATTCCCACTTCCCTCACTCTTGAGGAAGAACAGCTAATCAGGGCTGCTGCAGGAAGAACCCCAGCTCCTCCCCATAGGAACTGAGAGAAAGGGAGGAGGAGAAAGGAGCAGACAGAGCCCAGTATCTCAGAGCGGTTCTGTTCCCCCCTCCCCAATCTTCTCCTGTGAACAATGGGTCAAGTCTCCTCTCTCCTCCTTCCTGCAACACCTAGAAAGGGAAAGGGGTGTGTGTGAAGAGACCCTGAAGCTGCCTGGCCCCAAGGCTGGGGAAAAGAGAGAAGGAGGTGAAGAACCCCTGGAGCTGCCCCACTCCCAGGCCCAGGAAGAGGCGTAAGAGAACCCCATTGCAGCCGCTGCCCAGGCCTGGGAGGAGGGATCAAAAACCCCAGGAGTTGCATGAACAGCAGAGATGGAAGTGGCTCTACAGGCAGACATAACACTAATTAATTAAAATTATGAAGAGAAGTTGGAAGCACTGAACAACCAGTCAGTTATCAAGAGCTCCCTGCAGCAAGGGGACAAAATCACCATACTCAGATCTGGGAGAGCTGGCATTGGCAACACTAATTGCCTCTCATGGGGGGTGTGGGTGGGCAAAAGACAGGCCCAAAATGCTTTTTTTATTTTATTTTTTTTTAATTTCATGATTGGAGGGGAGGGGGTCTGAGTAATTACTTTTGAACTTTTGCGGTTGGTAATACTGGGAATTGAGACACATCTGCATTGAATTGATGGTGCTGTTGAATGAGATTTCAAGAGTTAATATCTTACAGAAGTAATTTGGAATAATTTTACATTTTATTACCTGAAGTATGCGCTTGATGTGTTGCCTTTGAGTGTTGTCACCCTCTGTGCATTCTTTAATACCATGAGGGTAACAGATAAGCTGCAGTAGTTTCTGTGCTTGCTTGTTTGAAAGAACAGGATCCAATATAAGATCTTTGTCCGTGCATAACCTCTCAGGCTCTTTCAAGCAGTGCTCTCCCACCCATTCCTGAAAGTAATCAAACAGCTGGATCGATAATGCCAATATAACACTCATTTTTCACAGATGCAATGCACACACAAAAATTTTTCCACATGCAGATATTCACAAACTGAAAACTGGTTCCACATAAGTCTATATGACACTTGAAATTTCACCTTCATTCAATAACTTACAACCCTTAAAAGTACAGTACACTTTCAACTGTTTTCCAAAATTTGTTTCCTTAAAAAACACTAAAAGTAGCTTGATAATTAATTGATGCTACCAAATGCTATCCACAAGTTGCATGAGCACCTTTTACCATGGAGCATCACTGGCATTTCTCAGATAAGGCCTGCTATTCCAGCCACCAAAAGGGCAGGGTGTTTGAGGTGCAACTGGGAAAAATAGTGTTAATTAAAAAGACTGGGAGATACTGAAGACTACAGGCCAAATTCATCCCCACTTTAGCATCACTGACTTTTAAATGACACCTGGTCAAAGCCGAGCAAATACAAGGGAGAACTCAGATTCAAATACCGTAAGAAAAAGATGTACAGTACATCCTCATAAAGTCTGTTTTGCATTCAAACATATTAAAGCCTCTTACATGACAGATTTTTGACAAAAAGAATGTTGTCTATAAAGAAAAGCTAGAAACACCGTTTTGCAAATTACCTGCTGGCAAATAGTTCTTAGCACATATCTAGCATATTCACTTAGACTAGCAGTTTCTATGGAAATAGCTTTTCCACATTTCAGTGTGTGTGAGGCACCCCAAATTTCATCATCATTAAGGTCATCTAATAAACCTCTCATAGTGAAGTCCTCATTCTTCAAAGAGTTAACACCGCTGCTGCCAATTTCAGCATCACCTACACAGCAGAAGCACAGGAGTACAAAAGTGAAAATCTTATTGAAGTCTTGAGATTTTGAATTTTCATATTCAGTTAAGGAAGCATTCGAAGATATTTCCTAGCCGAGAAAAAACACAGAAATGAAGTTTGTGCACAGCCAAATTAGACAGCAAGCAACACAAAGAAAAACTGGATATTAGAAAAATACAATTTTTGAAAACGTTACTTCCTTATTTTGCTTCAAATATTTTTCATTTAAATGAAATTTACTTTTTCTGAACTAGGAAAAGTTACATAAACCAAACAAAGAAAGAGACTACATCCTTCCTACCCCCAGAAAAAAGAGTATGCATGTGTGCACAGGCTTGATTTGTCTGTAAAATAAGGAAAAGTTGGGTTACTCACCCTTTTAGGTGTCCCTTTTTTCCAAGTCTTCTCTCTTACTCTGATTTATTAACTCTCCATAGATCAAGAGACAAGTTTTGACTGGTGGTCACCTTAGCCCACCTTACCATGAACTTCTTGACAAGAGAGATTTATTTCCCTGGGAATGGAAAAGGGCAATGCATACTGAGGGAGCCCTGTCAGAAAGGGCAAACGTTGAATAACCCATCCTTTCTGCAAATCATCAGCATAACGGCACAAACTTGACCTGAATATTTAATTTCAGCAGTGGGAAAGGGGACAGACTAAGCAAAGTAAGATCATTTGGGCAAGAAGCAGAAGTAAATATTTGCATAATGCCCTATGTTGAAATGGCAACTAACAACCTTTGAAGAGTTTGAAATCTTACATCAAAGAGCTATCTCACAAAGCAAGATGTAACTACTATTTTTAACAGTGAGAAATAAACCCCAAATGCTAAATATAATTTCACAACTGTTGTGGGACCATCTGAGATCATGCATTATGTAGGAAAATAATTATGTTTCCAGGTGATACTTAAGTTAGTGGGACAACATACCCATTCTAGAATTTAGCAGACACTCTTGTGGACCTTAACTGGTTTGTCATATGCTCTCTCCAGCACTTATCGAACACCACAATTTGATCTAATGACAATCTCAATATCTAATATGGCACAGGAAGTCCAGATGATTCAGCCAATTAAAACACCTTGATACAGCCACATGAACAAATATTCCATAAAACATCCCCAGCAAGTCAATCACCATTTAAATCATCACCCAAGCATCTGTCCATCTTTCTGTTGTCCTTCATGTTTAAAAGTCTCTCCGCTATTCCAGCTCAACTCATTTAAAACAGGGACACCATATTTTGCTTTTTGGCTGTCTCTACAATGGGATTCTTTTGTTAAAATCTTCCACCATTGCTGCCACAGCAATACCAGTGATAATAACAAAGAAATTGCTAATGTAGACAGAGTTATAAGCAGCACTGGCATTTTGTACCACAATCGTGTCTACACTTGCTCAGAGCAAGTCTACACAACAAGGTGCTTAAAATGTCAGCAGCTGCTGGTGGCCTGTGTACGCTTGTTCTCCCACCACTACCGGTGGGAAGCTGCACCAGTGGCAGCAAAGGTGGGAAGTTTTAGGAAAAAATGTCTTTGTCTCAAGAAGATCTATTTCCCCATATGAAATCCTCACAGTTTGTATCACTTCGATGTTATTCTCCAATAAACAGTACACTGAATCTCTCTTTAACAGGATTAAAACCACCTGTACTTTTTACTCATCAAAGTTAGAGGACACATTATGATAGACTGGCTTGTAACTGAACACTGCCTTCTTGTGTATAGAATAGATCACAACCTGCTGATATATCAGTTTATTTGACTGATTGAGCTTGATGAGGCTCTGATTCTTCAACTAACTCTGCACAGCGGGATCCCTGCACCCATATGGAGGGCTACTGAAGCCAATATATTTCTGCACTTGCGTGGAGCCCTACCTGTGCCATCAGTTGCAGGATTTGGAACTAACATTTATGGTAAGATGGGAGACTTGCCACCAATCAGGTACTACAGTTATGACTTCTTATGATAAATAGTTATAAACAGAGTTTCTACATCCAGCTTCAAGTATCGGGGGTAGCCGTGTTAGTCTGTATCCACAAAAACAACAAGGAGTCCGGTGGCACCTTAAAGACTAACAGATTTATTTGGGCATAAGCTTTCGTGGGTAAAAAACCTCACTTCTTCTGCATCTGAAGAAGTGAGGTTTTTTAACCACAAAAGCTTATGCCCAAATAGATCTGTTAGTCTTTAAGGTGCCACCAGACTCGTTGTTGTTGTTTTTTACATCCAGCTCCCTTTTTTGAGCATGGAAGGCACAGGCAGTGTTGGTATGTAGCAGAAAATCCCCCTACACTCATTTCTAAAATTCTTACATATTTAACAAACCATAGCAACATTTTAAAAGCATAATTCTTTATTAATTTCAATTAGAAAAGATTAATGCCATGGCAAACATATTTCCAAATGGACTGAAAGCAAGAAAAGAAGAAAAGAATATCTTAGAAAATAGAAATATTGTAAAAAATAATAATAATCCCTCCAAACTAACAATACCCAGAACTAAACCAACAAGTAAGGGAATTAATAAGTTAAAACATACAGGGCCCTAAGCATGAGATATTTATACAGTATTTACTCAATTCTTCTAAGCCAACCCCCTCACCATGGAAGTCAATAGGAGTTTGCCTGACTAATGATCTGAGGATCTGGAACATTAGAATTAATAGAGATTGGTCAGAAATGGAACACAGCATCTGACCTTGTGGGGCTTGGGCCCAACTCTGGGAATACCACTAAAGTCCAATCTACAGTGCTTCAACAATAACCATAACATAGCAAAAAACAAACAGAACAGGCCTAAAAAAAAAAGAAAGAGAGACACAAAATAGGACAAAATGTATGTGAATGGATAATGACGACATGTGAGCCCGAATCTGCCTTCCTTGCACACCATAACCATCTACATGGTGTTATGGTTATCAAGCCTGTTCTTTGCAATTGCAAATCACATACCAACAAGGGAGACCTAGTCACGCAGATGATACGAGTTATTTATTGTACAGAAGGATGCTAAAAAAATTCTACTTTTCTGAACTGAACCCAAAACATTGCAGTAAGGTTTGTGAAAAGACTACCCTGAATATACTCCTACTGCAGTTCACTATACAACTGTCTCTTTCACTTTGGGGAGAGATTAAATGTTCTAAAACTGATTTCTGCTCCCAAAATTACTTACTTATTAAGCATATAACCCCATTAGGTATAGCGTACCTGATGCTTTTCTCAATACATTAAGTGCAATTTTTAAGGAATTAACTTGAAATGTGAGAAGGGAGTTAAAAAAATCAATATTTCACCTTCCAAAATATTATATTTTGAATATTATTAAGGATGGGGTGAGGTGGGACAGTGCTAGGGAAATGAGTGTTCTAGATCTCTGTACCATATAGCCTTTAACCTGCACAAGCTCCTGCAAGAGAGTTTGCATTGCATTGCATCTACAGAGTTTGCATTGCAATGCATATTGCAACCCTTCACTAGTCATTTATTCAAACCTCAGCAATGCAGAAAAATAAGAATTCTAATCTAATCACTGCAAACAGCAATAAAGTACGGATGTTAGCCACAAGTATATTTTAACTCCACCTCAATTCACCCCAAATTCAGGTGTATAATAGAGAAGTTATAATGGTATAGCTATGTCACTTAGGGTGTGATTTTTTTAACCAGCACAGCTATATTGGTATAAGCCAGTATAACTGCCTCTTATACTGGTGTAAGTACTTTTATAACAATAAAACTGTGCCCATACTAGGAATGTTCTGCTGTTTAACTTTACCAGTATAGTTACACTGGCAAAACTTTTGAGCATAGACCAGTCCAAACTTTACAAATCTCCACTTAGGATACACTCTTGTCGGCATAACTATGTTGTGTCAGCAACAGCTCGAAGTATAATGTAGCCTGAATTTTTGCCGGTATAGCTTGTTTGCTCAGGAGGGCTGGAATAAGCCATGATAGCAAAAGCACAATTTATTGGAACATGCATCCACACCGGAAGTACTATACCACTATAGCTCTACCAGCGAAGTGATTCTAGTGTACAGCTGGCCTTAGGCTTAAGAATTGACACAAGTGGAGCAATAGTGAGCATCTGCTTTGGAAGCACTGTTTAACTATGGTTCTTTCAAGACTTCAGAAATTCAACAGCCATTAGGATTTACTTGTAATTCCAAACATGGGAATAAGTGAAGCTTAAGAGTTGGGTTCAGGATACTCCCCTTAGAAATGTCAAACATTTTTAGACTAAGCCAAGTTAAAATTTACTGTGACTTTCTGACAGGAAGTGTGAGCAAGAGTCACATCTACTTGAAGTCACGTAAGTCGGGGGCTGACTCACCAGAGAAAACTTCTGTCTCTTGACCTGTGGGGGGAAAGCTACTCATTGGTGTCAAGGAAGCACAGGAAGAATCCAAATTTGTCTTCAGTCAGATACTTTAATAACTCAGGATCCCCAATCACAGGAGCATTCTCAAGAAAATGAATTAAACCGATTCCTTTTTTAGCCAAGTGTTAGACTGAAGATCTTCACACACACAACTCTCTGAATAATCTTACCAAGCATCAAAATTGCTTTTAAGACCGCAAACACAGCTCCCACTTCTATGCTGTTGTGAGCAGCGGTTAGAAGGTGGCGGTCACAAGAAGAGCGAATGCCTGGGAATGACTTCCCTAAGAGCAGAGAAAGAGGTATATGTAGAACTGTTATTCTTTACCAGCATAGACTTCTTTATACAAGAACTTTTCTACAATGCATCAATGACTAATTCATGAGGTAAAATGCTGTTTTGGTTGAAGCTGTAGACCCAGCTGTAGTTAATTAAAATGAATGAGGGTAAGTAGTAGTAGCATGCTAACAACAAAACTAGCTACAGTCATTTAAATCTAGGAAAATAAGGTTCTGATCCTGCCTTTAATCAAGAGCCTTAAAAAAGTGTCCCAAACACACAAGTTTAAATTATTGAATTTTAAGTTATTAAGGAAAGTAAAATCTATTTTGGTTTCAGCTATACAGGTTTATGAATTTCCCCCCCTCATCTTCTTCCACAACAAAGTTATTATATAAATCTAACAAAGTACATTTAATACAAATTTCTTGTTATATAGTTCAGGCTGATTCTGCACCACTGAAGTCAGTGGATATTTTCCCACACTTCAGTGGGAGCAGGACCAGGCCCAAAGTCAAGAAATGAGAAAATGGCGGTTGAACATATAAGCGTTGCTATATCCACTTATGCATACGTTTTAAGAAAGTCTGCATTAGGATCTCATAACATTGTACATGATACAATAAAAAACAAAATAATTATTTTTGAAGATTCATATCTTCAGAATTTGAAAGAGGCAAGAGCACTGTAGCAGTAAAAGATTTCTATCAGTTTAGTTTTCTTCATCAGAACTATACACAGCTGTTATATTTAAACTAAACTTTTGTTAAACTTATTATGACAAAGGCTGGAGTTCTAGGTTGACAGGATAACATTTTAATGCTCAAGTATCCATAATCCATTGAGTTCAGCAGTGAAATTGTTTAATCTGCATAACCATTTGGTTTTAAAGGCCCTATTTTTCCAGATAAATCAGAAGTATGTGCTGCTGAGCTGCTTAACTATACTTCAGTATGCAAGACTATTTTGACTGCACATACACAGTTTAAAAAATGAAAATAAAAAATGCAAAGGCAATCATTGTTCAGCTTCTCAGAGAACATTATAGTCCATGGCAGAATTTTATTCACTGAAATGGTTTGGTTACTTCCTGCCATACCAATCACTCTTTGGCCTCTGCAGGAGGCCTATGCAGAAGTTTCAGAATTCATTTCGTTTTCTAAAATGAAAAGAACATGCAGCTTGCCAACTTACCCGTTGCTTGGGGTAACAGGTAGAGCTGGGGTGTTCTAAAGAGATGAAGCAGAAGACGGCATGTCATTCTCGCCCCGGGTTCAGCATCTGGGTCCCCACAGGCTATGAAAAATGGGACATTGACATAAGGCACCTCTCTCAAGGATCTTAGAAATCATATACAGAATTCACTGGAAGATCCACAGAAATAATTCTGTAAGACAGAACCTATTTCAAATGCAACTAGAGCATTTTATTTGATGGGAGTCAGCATTTGTAAGTTTTTGGAAGAAGAGAAGTTAATTAAGCAGAATTAATTGGTGGAGGAAAAAGCAAGGGGAGCAGTGGTCAAATGAGAGCAGAGATGAAGACCTGGATGAAATTGTGCAGAGCATTTAAAGCAAGGATCAGCACAGATGTAAAACAGAAGGTGAAAAAGAGCTAGTGGAGGGATTCCAAGCATTTTGTGATATGGTCTGATCAGTGGGCTGGGCAGAGGATTATACCTACTGAACTCTGAATGGAGTAGAAGGGAGCAAGAGGAGGCCACAGAGAAAGTGATATCAGTAGTTGAGGCTGGAGGTAACCAAGATACAGATGAGAATTTTAAGTTGTGGGGGCAGGAAGGAAGGGTTCGATTTCTGAAATGTTGTGAAAGAAGAACTGACATGCTTTGGCAATTCTCTGGATGTGTTGTGTGCAAGAGACAAAAAAGTCATATCATATGGAGATAGGGGACCTGGATAATAGGGAGAAGGATGGTGTTGTCAAAGAAGTAGAATGCATTTTATGAGACCTTTATATCATTTATCAAACACAGATTCTTTGATTCACCCTGATATTAGTACTACTTATGGGACCAGTCTGTTACAAACATATAGAGAGAGTATCCTGGCCATGGCCATCACATGCTGCAGTAGCATTCTGCATCAGAAAGTTGTTTCAGAATGAGTTGTAAAGTATTGCAATCAACAGAAAGAAAAAAGTTTTTAAAAACAAAACATTACAAAGTTTGCAGTGTCTGGATTGATATTTTCTTACCTGCTGCAAGGAGAGAGGGAAGTGCAACATGCTGAACTACATCCTCCAGAGAAAAACATTGCCGGGCTATCAGTATAGCAATGAAAGTGGCCAGTGAATCATGGAATGAAAGGTCACTCACCTTGAAAGAAAAACAACACTGGAATGCTTTCACGTTACGATACACAAATCTTCATTGCTGTGATTAATGACCAAGATATAAAAGCAAACTTGGCTTACCAACGAAGAGTAAAATTATCACAAATAAGCAGCTTCCTCCACTTTTTAATGCACCTCCTAAATATTTTCAATGGCAATCTTCTATTGATTTAAATTAATTACAAAATGTACTGATTTTTTTTCTTCATACATTAATTTTAATTAAATGAATAGGAGACAAATTGATTTATAAAAGATGGAACAGATGTTATCTTTAATTAGAAATTGGTGGCATACATATTCACTCCTCAGCAGCTAGCACAAAGCAAGAAAAACCCTAGATGTACACAGCCATCCTTGAATATGCATGGTCAAAGAATAAACCAATCTTTTAAAGTACTAGCATAAATATATCAAGCCAGGTCCTTCACTGATGGAAACTGTCATAACCCCACCGGCTTCAATGGAGCTCTGACAATTTACAGCAGCTGAGTTAGGATCAATGAAGTGTATTACACCCTTATGACTAAGTGCCAGCCCAGAGGCAGGCTATTTAAGAGTGGGACTGTTCAATTCACGGAAACAGTGATTGAGAAGTAAGATAGTCTTGTAGGTATCTGCCTGTCTCTTTCACAAGGTACCTCCCATAACCTATAGCACTAAAGTAGTGCAATGAGAAAAAAATGTATTTGAGTAAAAATACCACTCTATATGTAGCCTATATTTTATTTTGAATGAAACAATGAAAATGCAGAAACATAATTCAGGAGTTTCAGAAGATGCTTTGAAGAGATAAACAGATACAGTTCAAAAACCCTGTTCAACAATATATAGTGTTTAGATACTATGTGATGGGTCTTCTAGAGGCAACTTAAGAAAGATATGTTTAACTGGTACTTATATTTCAAAATACATTGAACTTACATCCACACTGCAAAGCAGATCATTAAAACCCCAGACATGATTTGAAGAACAGCAAAGAGCCTTTAGAACTCCTAACCATTCTGAACTTAGCACCGTGCAGCATGCTGTCAACTCTGCGCAAAGGTTAGCTATGTCATTAATTCTAGAAGACAAGAGAAAACAAGTTAACAGAAGAAAAATGCTCATTAGCAATAAATATTTCAGAGATAAATAAAAGTTTATGTCAAGACCTATATTTCAGATTTCATCTAGGGCTCTCCAGTTGTGGACACCTATTCTTGCTAACTACAACATTTGGTACATGCATTGTGCCCAGTTTAATGTGCTGTTGCAAAAGGCACTGCATTTTGTAGAGATCCTCCTGTGACAGAATGTACCCATGTCCACACACTACACCCTGTCATAATAATCTTGGTTCAAGTTAGGACTTTTAAGGTATCATTTGAAAACTTATAATTTGCTGGTCAATATTTTCCTGATAAAATATGTGTAGCTACATTGTATGTGAAGTTATAATATTCTACTATATGGTGTTATTAACACATATTCCAAACCGAGGCTGGCAAACAGGTCTGTCTCAACGAAAGGAATGTGTGCTCTGCTTAATTTGCATTTAAGCATTAAGCAGAGTAATCAGCTAGGTATGGGAGACAAAGGACGTTCAAACAGAGAGAAAAACAGAGAAAAACACATCAAGGAATATTCTTCCACATAGGAAGAATCTGTCTGTCTCCTGAATCTCAGCTAAAAATGCTTTTCAAGAGGGAGACTGACACTACAAAAAGGAGGGACAAACACCCCAAGGCACCCCTCCTCTCTCCCTGCCCATCGATTTGCCACACCTGAAGCAACAGAGGAAGAAGCCTTCACTGGATTCTGGGAGAAGGGGTCCTGACCTAGAGGATTTGGTCAGTAAGACTGCTGAAAGCATATGGTGAGAAATTTTCTTAAAATCTGATATACACCTCTACCCCGATATTACACGAATTCGGATATAACGCGGTAAAGCAGCGCTCCGGGGCAGGCGGGGCTGTGCACTCTGGCAGATCAAAGCAAGTTCGATATAACACGGTTTCATCTATAACGCGATAAGATTTTTTGGCTCCCGAGGACAGCGTTATATCGGGGTAGAGGTGTAGTTTCTTAAGTTGGGCACCAGTAGCATTTTAACTTTATTTTCTTGTAACCATTTATGCCTCATTACTTGTACTCACTCAAAATCTCTCTTTAAACTTGTTTTACTGTTTTATCTAATCCAGTGTGTTTAAACTTAAGTGTTTCGGAAACTCCATTTGTTATTTCTGTTAAAACTATAATGGACGTCACATAAACTTGTACTGTCCAGGAGACAGCTGGGCAGTACAGGACATACATATCTGGGGGGAAATAGAAGATTGGGGAGGTGTTGGGGTCACCCTGCTGTGTAGTCAAGGCTGGTAAGAGCCAAGGTGTGACTGGCTGGCTGCAGCACACATGCAGACATAGCTGAGAGAGACTTGTAAGCTGGTGGCTGTTCATAGCAGTCCCCAGTGGAGGTTACAGCAGCAAAGCAGTATAAAAGGGCACCACAGGTTAGAGGGCAGGGTTGACACAGCTACTCACTAGTCTGGATTGTACCCTGGTAAATCACACCTCCTTTATCAGCTGTCTCCTCCAGCATGATTCAATCACCTTCTCCCACCTGCTGACCAACCACGAAAGGTGAATTTAGGGATACAACCCTTCCTGGCTCCACCCCACAATGACAAGTGCTCTGCTCCCCCTTCCAGGTGACACTGAAACTCCTGCAGTGGTGGCATGGGGAGAAGAGCTCCAGCCTTGTTCAAGGTACAAAATCGTCCCCTCAAAAATGAACCATATTGTAACAAAAGCTAAATTAAGAAACCATCTTGCACAGGACCCCAAAAATCCTAGGCCACCATTGACATTCTTCCAGCTAGCAACTGTAAGGAAAACCATGCCTCACTGCAATGTAGCTAGAATAATTCTCCTGATTTAGGAGCAAGGGGACACAAAATCAAGTGTGTCATTGTCACTTTGTGGATTACATACAGATTAAATTAATTTTGATTCAGTGCAATGTTAAGAGCCATGTTGACTGGTTAAGAGAGAAGAAATGTGGGTTATTCATCCTGGGCTGGGTTCCTTTTTTCCTTCCAGAGGGAAACTCCCTTGGTAACCTTGGTGTGTTCCTTCTCATTGACTTAATCCCTTTTCGTCACTCCACATTGCCAATACTCCCTCAGTTGCCTAGACTGCCTCAGACTGAGTTTTGGAGGGTAACATGACAAAATATCAATATGCTCTTTAGGGAGGAAGAGAAGGAATGATCTACTATGTGAGTGTCACTCAGAAAGGGAAAAAGATTCCTGCTATGAAGCGTAGCCGATAATTCCCTCTCTTCCTTAATCCATCAGTGACTTTTCAGTAGCTTTACCAAAGCGAAGGAGGATGAAGGAGAAAGACTGATGGGTGGAAATGATATCTATAAGAAGTTAGAGGAATAGATATTGCACATTGTATTTCATAATGACTCCAAAATCCAAGATACTACTTAAATTCACTCATGATGATATGGTTAACCCTGTTAGAGAGTCTCAGACCTTGAGGATGACAGCTTTCAATATCTGAATTAGATAACGGTCAGAATTAAATCTGAACAACCTTGAACATGGAAAGTTTATCATCTGCCCTGAATTCTAACTGAATTCTTGATTAAGTGTTCTTAATAGGAGTCAAACCAGAACTCCATCTCAACCATTCTGATTTTGAGGGAACTGGAGTTGAAATCCAGATGTATAAATTCAGGCTCTTCTCTACCTGCATTATGGGGTTTGGAGAACAGATAATTAAGAAAAACAAGTCCAACAAGGAAATCCAATGCTATTTTTGGATAGAAGGAATAGTTTTACAATTTTCCCATTGTTAGAGATCCTAAGAAAAGGACGTAATGGTGAGAAGAAAAAACTAATCATTATGATAAACCTGATCTCTAAATGAGGTCCAGACATGAAGAGCTCTTCAAGGCCATGCCAAAATGCAAGGATAAATGAGACAATTATTGTTTGTCATAAAGGACAATAGTAAACGAAATCATCACATAGAAGATCTTTCTGTTCTGTCCTAGAAGAGGTATGCTTGATTTGGAATAAAAATCCTAGGACCAAATTTGGGGTGTCAAAGGATAATTTTAATGAGATGGGAAAAAACAGTGTTTTGTCCCACAAAATCTAACACTTTTGGCAACTCTTCTTCTTTTAATAAAGTAATTTGAGTTTAGTGTGTTCTTTGTGGATGCTGAAATGATCACTGTAACGGTGATCTTTCAATAGCAGTCCTTCAATGTGTTATCACGTGGAGGATCCCAAACTCTCAGGTGGGGCATAAAGGGCAGGGCACACAGAGGAAGACGTCTGTGTGCAGGAGGTTGAAAAGGTGCATGGTATTGGATCTGCTCTTCCAACTAAAATACACAGCTGTGGCTATGGGTAATACAGAGAAGGTTCTTTGAAAGCCACCTATCTTCCTTTTTTGCTCTCACATTGATCCCTACGGCAGCTGAACAATTAAAAAGAGAGAGAAGCCATGTCTACATTACGAGCTGAGGTTAGAGTCTCTTGCTTGTGTACACATATTCGGGCTAGCTCTCATTGAGCTAGCCTAAGTATAAAGAGTAGTGTGGCCACAGTAGCATGGCAGTGCAGAATACATGCCCACCGGTTTCAGAAAGGTTTGTACTCAGCATGGCTGAGCCATGCCTCTGCTGCTGCTACCAGTGCTGCTGCAGGCACGCTGTTATTTATATCCACACTAGCGGGATGAAAGCTAGCATGAGTATGTGTATACAAACAGGGGAACCACACCCCTAGCTCGTAGCAAAGACATAGCCAGAGAAGGGGGGGGGAGGGAGAGAGAGAGAGAGATGAGGTAAAAACAGAGAAAGAAACAGACAAGAGAAAGAAACCAGACAAAGAAAAAGATGGTGGCAAAGTGCCAGGAGAGAGAAGGAAAAGGTCCCTATCATTAACCAGCCTATTGCAAAGATACATCACCAGAAAAGGCTGGGAAGCACTATGATAGTCCCTTAAAGCCTTCTCTACAAGAACTAGTCATTATCTTGAAAGACTGAGCTGACAGGAACATCGGTCCATTTTCTTCTCTGCTGTCACAGGTACTTTCCATTTAGAGACCAGATACCATGGAACAATAGGAACATAGGAAATGCCAGACTGGTTCAGACCCAGGGTCCATCTAGTCTAGCATCCTGTCTCGACATCAGCCGGCACTAGATGCTTCAGAGGAAGGTATAAAAAGCCCCATAGCAGGCAGCTGTGGGATAATGTGACCCACATGCATGTCTCATCCTAATCCTTAGTAGTTGGAGAATGGTTTAAACTCTAAAGCATGAAATTTTATTTCCCTTCCAAAATTCTTCTTTAATGAATTAGCTATAACAAATCTGGATGTTCTTGTTAACCATTTAAATGTCCAATCCCTCTTTTAAACTTACTAAGTACTTGGCCTCAACAGCATACTGTCGCTAGGAGTTCCATAATTCAATTAATTAATAATATAGTTCATCTGGGGAAGGAACTGATCTGGTACTCAACATTCCTTGACAACGAGGATACTATCAGGGTGTGATGATGATTGTGCTGAGATAGCAATCCAGTCTCAGAATCATATAAGCCTACACCTGCAGTAAACCATTTGTTATTAACCCTTGTAATGTTATGCAAACCAGTCTGATGCAGTCTAGGTGAAAGGAAACCCATTCAAAAGAACAGTGCAACACTGAAGTGGCGAGAAAGAGGAAATCTGTCAATGAAGAGAATACCAAAAGGATACAAAGGGAGTCAAAAAAGAGGAAGGAAGGAAGGAAGGAAAACATGCACATGAACAGCCCGTTAGCTCTAATAATATCTCAGATACTTCATTTCACTGCAGCACTAACACTTATTTCGACTACTTCCATAGTTCTATTTCTGAATCAATTTCTCTTACCTTCCTGCATCTTGGTGCCCCATACACACATTCATTAGTGCATTACAGACAAAGCTGTAGCGATTGGCTGCATTGTCATTCAGGATCTTGCCTAGCATTGAGTAGTTGATGCTGTGAGCAGAGGGATTCTCGATAAAATCCAACATGAACTCTGGATCCCATAACGAGTTGGAGTTCGAGGGCTGTACATTGCTGTATATCGTTTGCTTTACCTTTGAACAAGCACTACTAAGGGTTAAAAACAGAAGGAGAGACAAAAATATTATTCACTTCTCCTGGGTTGTTGAAATATTTATGCAGATTAAAACAAAATGGCCACCAAATAATACTCATTAGGGTTACCATTCGTCTGGATTCCCCCAAACATGTCCGGCTTTTCTGAGTTAAAAATAGCGTCTGGAGGCTATTTGTAAATGTCCAGACTTCCCCCCCATGCAGAGCGCGCGCGGCTGACAGGGCAGCCGGCCAGATGGTGCCACTTGCACTGGGCTCTGGCAGCCAGAGAGAGCCCGTCCTCCGCTTCCCCCTCCTCTCCCCTGCAGCTGAGATCATTCACTCCCTCCCTGCATTCGCAGATCGCCGGACGTTCGGGCTTCCGGCAGTCTGGAGCTCCTCCCCCTGCCCAGCGCGCCGCTCAGCAGCACTCTGCGAGGGCGGGAACCGGGATATGTGCTCCGTGGGGGGGCGCAGCAGCGTGTCGGGCTGCGCGTGGAGCCCGACACGCTGTTCTGAGCAGCACGGTAAGGGGGCCAGGGGGTCGGAGAAGGGGCAGGAAGGTTCTGGAGGGGGCAGTCAAGAAACAAGGAGCAGGGGGAGGGTTGGATGGGTCGGGAGTTCGGGGGGGCTGTCTGGGGGTTGGGGTTGTAAGGTTTTGGGCAGTCAGGGGATAGGTAGGGGGTAGGGTCCTAGGGGGGCAGTTAGGGTGGGGGGTGATCTCAGGAGGGGGCAGTTAGGGGACAAGGAACAGGGAGGCTTAGGGAGGGGGTGGGGTTCTGGAGGGCAGTTAGGAGCAGGGGTCCCAGGAGGAGGCAGTCAGGGGACAGGGAGCAGAGGGGTTTAGATGGGTCGGGAGTTCGGAGGGGGCTGTCAGGGGGTGGGGAGTGGTTGGATGGGGCGTGGGAGTCCCTGGTGTCTGTCTGGGGTGGATAAGGGTTGGGGCAGTCAGGGGACAGGTAGGGGATAGGGTTCTAGGGGGCCAGTTAGGATGGGGGGGAAGGTCTCAGGAGGGGGCAGTCAGGGGACAAGGAGCAGGGAGGCTTAGGTAGGGGGTGGAGTCCTGGGGGGCAGTTAGGTAGGGTTACCATACGTCCGTTTTTTCCCGGACATGTCCGGCTTTTTGGTCCTCAAATCCCCGTCCGGGGGGAATTGCCAAAAAGCCAAACATGTCCGGGAAAATAGCTTTGCCGGCATCCCTGCCCCAGTCCCCTGCTTACCTTGCGGCTCCCGCAGGCTGCGAGCTGCAGGCAGATTCCCCCGCGGCGGCTGCTGCTGCTCCCCCCAGACACCTCAGCTCTGTGTAGCTGAAGAGCCGACCTGCCCGAGCGCTACCGGCTTCACGGTTTGCCGGGCAGCCCCCAGACCTCCAGACCCTGCGCCCCCGGCCGGGCGCTTCCCCAGCGCAGCCGGAGCCCGGGAGGGGAAGCGCCCAGCCGGGGGCGCAGGGTCTGGAGGTCTGGGGGCTGCCCGGCAAACAGTGAAGCCGGTAGCGCTCGGGCAGCTGTTTCGCGGCTGGGAGGGAGGAGGGGGAATGCGGGGCACTCAGGGGAGGGGGCGGAGTTGGGGCAGGGCCGGGGCGGAGTTGGGGCAGGGCCGGGGAAGGGGCAGGGCCAGGGCCCCAGGGAGTGTCCTCTTTTTTTAATGAGGAAATATGGTAACCCTATTACTCGCAGAGCTAGTAGATATATTGTTAAATCCCAGAAAGTCTATCATATTTCCCTAGGAGGCACTGGAACACACAAGCATGGGTGGAGGGTATCATACGCTGGGGAAGGCTGTGCCTCACAAAACAGCCCTCCTGCTTCCAGCTTGGCCCGGCTCCAGTCTCCCTGCCCTCCGGGGCTGGGGGCACTAGCCTGGGGCGGGAGCCAGCAGCTGCAAAGGGGGCCTCTGGGCTCTGGGGGGGAGGGGTGGAAGAGGCGGGGCTATGAGCTAGCTTCCACCAGCCAGTGGTTCACACATCGCTTATGCACACAAGCAAATTCACCCTACTTGGATTACTCTTCTGTACATTGTTTCAGAAAGCTGTGGTGTTTTTACAGAGAGTCTGACAAACCCAGGTAGCACACAGCCAATTTGACTAAAGTTTTCCTGCAATTCATATAAACTGACAAGTTCCCAAACCAGCTTTGTGATATGTTTATTCAAAGCCTGAGCAGCCAGATGAATCAGAGAGTATTCACTTTATACAACGTGCCTTGTAAACATATGCTGATGCTGCTTCAGAAGACTGCTATTCCTCCTTTACATTTCATGACACACTGAGTGAACTAGAGTGTGCATCAGGGTGAGGGATTACTTAAGTGGTAAGAAATATCAGGATCCTACCTACATTCTTTTTAAAATAAAAAAATCTCAACACCTTAGAAAGACGACATATTTGACAATAACTTTTTAATTATTGACACAGTGAACTAGATATCATCTATGATTTCTTGGCTGACAGAATCAATAAATAGAAAGAGGGTATGAGAATGTCATGCTCTTATTACATTAACAATAAACACAAAAGATAGAGAGACAGTCTAGGCTTGGGATAGTAACATGTTAATGGACCTTCTTCAGCAGGAGAGAAGCCATTGTGTGAAGAAATCAGATAATTGTATATGCAAAAGGATCAAGAGGACATTTGCATTAATTAAAGAGGTGCTGGTTATGATTCCATATTTAAGGCCTTATTTACATGAGTAAATTTAACTAAATTCAGAAATCAGTTTATGAATTCCTTATGCCAATTTAGTGTAATCTGATTTGACATAAAACACTCAAGTCAATTAAAGAGGGTTGCACTGATTAACTAAATTGGTGCAACTTTGGTGAAACTACAAAGGAAATAGGATCTAACACAAGTTGGTGAAGAAGTCACCAGATCAGAAGTATTACTGGGTCAGAAATGTAGTTTTCACCTGAGAGATGGGTGTGATCATCAAGGAAATGGAGGTCAGACATTGGGATCAAACACAGCAAATCCCTCAGGGTATGTCTTCAATGCAAAGTTAACCCAGGCTCTTATTTGGGTGTTGCCCCTAACCCCCATCCTGTATATACACAAAAACCTGACCCAAGTTTAGTGTTTCCCCAGGCTAGCTAGCTTGTTTGGGGCTAAAGGCTGAGTGAGGTTATTATTCAGGCTGCTAACCCAGCCACTTTGCAGTGAGGATGTAGCTAAACTACTGGAGTGCTGATAGTCCTCCAGTGGCTTCCCATAATTCCTCCACATTCCCAGAAAGACAGACAAGTTGTCCCATAATTCACTGGAAAGAATCAGAGTGGCTTAGCTTAATACAGCAGCACAAAGAACCATGGGACATGCCCCCAGAAGTTCTAGTAACACACACATGGGTGAGTGCAGCACCAATGAGGACACAGTAACGTGGGTGTGGCATTGTGGTGTGGCTCCTCACACCCGGGGTAGGCTAACCCAGGGACAACCACCTAGGTTAACTCTGCAGTGAAGGCATATCCTCAGAAGTAGGAATTTTCTAATGGTGTGAGCATTTAATTTCTCCTGCAAATAAGGTTTTTGTCTGCCTACCAGAGGCTGAGTGTAGTTTAGTACTGTTTAGCGCCAATTTAATTTTAAACTCCATTTTCTAACAAACTTGTTTTCATTTAATATATTTCAGGTTGTAAGTTATTCTTGGGATTTTTACTGTGGTCCATTCTCAAAGACCAGGAAGAGGAGTTTCTGACCTCTTGTGAAAGGCAGAAAGGCACTGAATCTGAGACCATGTCTACACTACGGGTGCTACAGTGGCACAGCTATGCCACTAGTGCCATAGTTTAGACACTTTTTATAGTGATGGAAGGGGTTTTTCTGTGTGAATTTTTCACATCACTGAGTGCCATAGGTATATGTTGACCTAACTTCTAAGCATAGATGACGCCTCAGTGCAAAAAGACTGCCCATCCCCAGGAGCTGTTGCCAAAACTCAGGCTGGGGGGACAGATATACTGAGAGGGTCAAGGTGGCTACTAGAAACAAGGAACCATCAGTAACAATTTTTTGTGGATTTTTGCCTTTTTTCTCTTGAAAAACATCACTACCTCTTCCACAGCCAGAAACAGTTTAAAGGGTAATTGCTCTACGTCTCTATGGTGTTAAATGATATCCTACAGAGACAAGCTCCATGAGTCTTTTGGTTTATCAGTTGCTGTCATCTCTGTCAGTGCAAATGGGATCCACACTAGGAAATCCAGACCTCTGGCAACACAGAGTCACATTATTCAAAGTATTCTCTAATCATAGGGAAACCAATGAAAAGAGAGGACGAATAGCAGCTTTTTAAAAAAAATACAAAAAAGTATCAAAAATCAAGCTTGGACTTGGACTTTCAGAAAGCCTTTGAAAAGGTCCCTCACCAAAGGCTCTTAAGCAAACTAAGCAGTCCTGGGAGAGGGAAAGTCCTATCACAGATCGATAACAGGATAAAAGATAGGAAACAAAAGGGTAGGAATAAATGGCCAGCTTTCAGAATGGAGAGAGGTAAATAGCAGTGTTACCCTAGTATCTGGGCTGGAACCAGTGTTGTTCGACTGGACAAAGGGGTAAAACAGTGAGGTGGCAAAGTTTGCAGATGATACAAAACTACTCAAGACAGCCTAAGTGCAAAGCAGACTAGAAAGACTTATAAAGGGATCTCACAAAACTGGGTGTCTGGGCAACAAAATGGCAGATGAAATTCAATGTTGATAAATGTAAAGTAATGCACATTGGAAAACATAATCACAACTATATATACAAAATGATGGGGTCTAAATTAGCTGTTACCACTCAAGAAAGATCTTGGAGTCATTGTAGATAGATCTCCAAAAATGTCCGCTCAATATGCAGTGGCAGTCAAAAAAGCTAACAGAATGTTAGGAACCATCGGGAAAGGGATAGATAATAAAACAGAAAATATCATAATGCCACTATCTAAATCCATGGTACCCCCACCAATTGAATACTGCATGCAGTTCTGGTCACCCCATCTCAAAAAAGATATATTAGAATGGGAAAAGATACAGAGAAGGGCAACAAAAATTATTAGGAGTACGGAACAGCTTCCATATGAGGAGAGATTAAAAAGACTGGGACTTTTCAGCTTGCAAAAGAGGCAACTAAGGGGGGATATGATAGAAGTTTATAAAATCATAAATGGCATGGAGAAAGTGAATAAGGAAGTGTTATTTACCCCTTCACATAAAACAAGAACCAGGGGTCACCAAATGAAATTAATAGGCAGCCAGTTTAAAACAAACATAAGGAAATACTTCACACAATGTACAGTCAATTGTGGAACTCATTGCCAGGGGATGTTGTGAAGGACAAAACTATAACTGGGTTAAAAAAAAGAATTAGATAAGTTCATGGTGGATAGGTCCATCAGTGGTTATTAGCAAAGATGGTCAGGTATACAATCCCATGCTCTGGGCTTGCAGTCCCTAAGCTTCTGACTATTAGATACTGGGACTGGTTGACAGGGGATGGATCACTTGATGGTTGCCCCGTTCTGTTCATTCCCTTTGAAGAATCTGGCATTGGTCATTGTTGGATGACAGGATACTGGGAGAGGTAGACCATTGGTCTGACCCAGTATGGCCATTCTTATGTTCTTAGGTGGAACAAAATCATCCTTCATGCGACTCCACTGAAGTCAGTAGTTCAACAAGGGATGTAATTGGCTTGTAATTTTTGAGACACCAAAGTAATATGAACACCACAGAAACAACTGTAAAGTCAATCTTTTCTCTCTTCCCTTAAGCTTTTGAGGAGAAAGTGGGCTGAGCTGGAGTGGTTATTTACATGTGCATCCTTTTTGTATTATTTTGTGTATTTTATTGAATGGAATAGCTTGAAGTAGCTATACATTTCAATGAATGAACGAATTAATCAATCAATCAGCACTATAACTTGGGCACACATTTCGCTGAAGCAAAGTAATAAGACTGGAGTTTAATGTAATTTGGAGCCAAAAGTACACCACCAGAGGTGGTGGATAATCCAGACCCTGCAGAACCAGCTACTCCTTTGGTACGTAAGGAGGGAAGCACCAGTTGCTGAAGATGCTGAATGTCAATTCCACTTACTTCACTACTTATTTGACAAAACATCTCTCCATCATCTCTGTTTTCATTCATTTTGTAAAATCGGCCTTTGTACCTGTGTCCACATTTAACTTCACTGGAAGTCTACAGAACTTTGCTGTCACTCACCATCCTTCTACTTCCATACAACTCATCGTTTAGAAGGTAAAAAAGCCCTCATGACTTTCACCTGAAAATCTGGCATTTATTTTTTCAATAATAACAAAACTCCTCTCCTTGAGATAAGTAGCTTGCCGTTCCTGAAAATGGGGCTTCTTATTCCACGTCTAATCATTAGCGAGCTGCTTAGAGATCGAAGACTAGATTATGTCTTATAGACTCTGTTATATGTTGGCAGGTTGGGGCCCACTTTGTAGTAGGATCCCCAGAAAGACTCAGCCAGGATTCCTCCTGGGATTTAGAGGAAGGACATGCTGCAGCCTTAGCTCTACCGTCCATTAAAAATGTAGGCTGCATGTGTTCCTCTTGAGCCTGGCCAGTTACACTGGACATGGTTCTCATCTCACTCTGCCCCTTTAAAGAATCCAGTACTGTTGGAATTGCAGCATATAGCGGTGGCTTCACTCACCAGTCGCTTTGTGGCTGGCCCTTTCACAAGTGGTGTGGGTAGAAGGGGGAAAGCTCATTACATTCCATCCCCCCAGCCATGCAGCACCAGCTACAGTCTGACCATAATCTAATAAATGCCAGAATCAGCTCAAACCTTGTTAATAGATGTAAAACCGGCTTATGGAACACATTAGCTTCCTGAAAAACAACGTAAGTATGGTACACATACAGTGCAGAAAGAGGCCATAACCAGACAATTAGGGAACTCAGATAGCATTTTCAAAAGCACTGACACCACTTAGGAGCCTAAATCCCATTGACTTTCAAATGGCCTTTCCTCTTAGGTGCTTTGGAAAATGGGACTTAGGTACTTCAAAAAATTTTATACTAAATTTATTCTACAGATTGGAACACAAAACAGAATTCTTCTTCTTTCCTAATGGTCACAATGGTAACCATATCTTAATACAATGGATTTGTAAACTGAATTTCTGACAACATGTTATGCTGAGGGAGTGGTCAGAAGATCAGAATCATAAAAAAAATGTGAAGAGAGAGTTTAAAAAAAGGAAGTGTAGTAAACATTAGTAAATAAAAACGTCTTGAAGCCCCAGTAGGCTTCCTTATGTCAACTGTTTAGGATGATACCAGAGAAACCACCTTTAAAACCTGAAGTCGAGAGAAGGTAAGAGCAAAGTATAAAGTGAATGTTTTCTTAAATGCAGCATTTTAATATATTTTGAAATTTATTAAAAGAGGGAACCAATGGTACCTGCAGTGTGGTAGAAAGCAGCTGAAAGAGTGATTGGAAGTAGTTAACTATTGTGTGTCACACACAGTAAGGCACCTTCAAAGATTAAACTACTATAATGCTAGTGCCTTGTGTGCAGTGCTATAGTTAAGGAACCCCCTGTATAAATTACCAGTCTTCAGAGGGTTTGTATATTAAATCAGTCATTTTTTAATTACACTGGACAGGAAAATCTGTCACACAAGTGCTGGGTGCAGATGCAGTTAGAACTCCCATGTTATTAGCATGCCATTTTAAAATATTATTATAAGACATCAATAAAATAGATTTTTTTTGTTTGTGGGATTTTTTTGGGAGGGGGTTGTTTTGTTTTTTCTGTTGCCATTTTATATGCTCTATTAAGCTGCAGCTTTTGGAGTTGAAAAATATGGGGATGGGGTTAGCAGTAGAATAAATGTATAGCTATTTTATTTAGACACATCTGTAGTTAAGAAGTTACCCTATATTTCATAATTTTTTACTAAGCAACATTGTAGAAATCTTGGTCACGTGCATTTATAAATCCATTTACAACATCTACAGGTTCTCTTACTGAGAACTCTCTCAGATAACTATGTAATACAAACCTCAAACATGAAACATGCAGATCAAAACCACAAGGATAAATGGGGAAAACATTGTGAGTAAGCTGACTTGTAACTTTCATAATAAGCAAGTGCACAGATAAAAGGTCTTTTTCAAAATAGCCAAAAATACTGACTTTGGGGTTTCTAAAGTAAGATTCCAGTTTAGAACAAGAAACTGAAAGTTTGCAATGTAGCACCTTGCAAACCACACACACACATTTTGATGTGTCTCTACATATTTTTAATGAAAGATTTAGTAAGCAGAGTACTGTAGTGGTGTCAGCTAAGCCTTCATTATTTTCAATGATGGTGTAGTTATTACAGTAGATTTACAGTACTAGTATATTATGGAGGATCTTAAATTAATGAAAACTAAACCACAATTAACAGAATTAAACTACTTTGCTAGCATTATCGCTATTCTGTATATGTGTACTTCTACCCACATAGGTCCGTCCTGCCCTGAGCTCCATGCAGGTGGATCTGTGTACCCACATGGAGCTCCACTGACTTCAATGGGGTGTCAGTGGGCACAAAGGTATGCCTGCTGTGCTGAGCACTCAAGCAGTATCAGGACCTGTTTCAAACCTGAAACAGTCTGTGTAGGCAAAATGGTTCACAAGTAGGGCAAAGGAAAACCAGCAAGTAGAAAAGGTGCATTTTAAAGAGCAGATAAATTGAATTAAATTAATACAATATAGAAAGGCAGAAGTCTGCTTGTTAGAAGTTTCTAGAGTTAATTTTAAGTTTGTAACATCTTTGTGCAACTAACCTGAAAAGGTCCCCAAATTTGCTTCTCAGGTGGCTACATGACACATAGAGATCATAGAGGTAAGCTAAAATACATCTTTCTGGGGAAGAACATTCTGATGGATTAACAACATGCTTGACAACACCACATAATCTGGAAAAAAAAATCAGAGATTAATTCCAACTCAGACTTTTGAAAACTTAACTGCCCATTTCACCTTGAATAGTCTCTTGCAACATGTTAACTTCTTGTCTTAACAACCTGTTCCACCTTGCACTTAGCTGTGACTCTCTGAGTACCTTTCCCAGACCTGAAGAAGAGCTCTGCATAAGCTTGAAAGCTTGTCCTCTCTCACCAAACAAATTTGGTCCAAGAAAAGATATTACCTTGTCCACCTTGTCTCTCTAAAACCTAATTATACATTTTAATATTATAAAATTAACATACCCATGCCAATAACTAGACAATGGTCTATGTCCATAGAAAAGTCAAAGTGAATGCATTCTCAATAGGTATAAAGGGTTTCATGTGAAGCCTATTGTCACAATTTTAAAATGAAAATAGTTAAGTGCTCATAGTATTTTACACATATGGGCCACAATCCTGCAGCGAATTACATACAAGGGAATTCCTACTGACATCAAGAGGGCTCCACACAGGCCACAGGGGTCTGCCCAAACAGAGCTCATTGCACAATCAGGGCCATGGAAAACAGATCAAAGATTTACAGCCCTTTTCCCTAATAATAATGATGCAAAAGTGTGCAACAATTACTAACCTAGCACAGCATAATCTTAATGTGCACAAAGAAGGACTAAACATTTCACATTTTAATTGGGCTTTGCACGAATGGAATTCAGTTTTCAGCTAATATCACTGTAACAGTACATGGAAGCGTACATTTCCTAGGTTATTTGGCTCTCCCTGTGTCTACAGTGATTGTCAATAAGGCACTGTTGAGGAAGACCACAGTATCCTCTGCATCAATGATTTTATACCGGGATGATTACCTACTTTACGCCCTTTTTTGTTGCACTTGAGAGGCCAGTGTGTTCTACGCGTACCAGTCATTATTTACGGTGTAAGCTTTTTGGGGCAAGGACTGTCCTATGTGATGTTTGTATAGTGCCCAACACAGTGGAGCACTTGGGCACTTACCGTAACACAAAGCAAAAAAACCACAACAGTATGCTACCTTTGAGTGAACCATTCTGTAACTACCCATAGCTAACAGGACAGACAACCACTTCAGATCTTAAAGAATATTTAAAACCAGTTTAGTTAAATCACTGCAAAAATCTGCAGAGAAATGATTGCATTGTGTATAACTCATTTAAAAAAAATGTAGTTACACTGATGTAAAATCCTTATTTCAGTGTAAAAGCAGGTCATCAAGTTAGCTTAAGTCAATTCCTCAATGATTTAAGATTAACCAAAATAAACGATTCAAACTGAATTTTTGCACTAGTTTAAACGGTTTTTAAATGATTTATATGCAATGCAATGTATACAGCTGACATATATTTGAATATATTCTTAGTTTAATTATGTACATCATAAACAAACAGAGAGAAAAATACAGCAGCTACAAACCCTTCAAAAACTTGTGCAGTCTGCTCTGGATTTAAAATTAGGCAGGCATGGTAACGCCGTAAAACAGCAACAATGCACACACATAATCCTGTTGTGTAACTTCCTGCCAGGCTGGATGACTTCAGCAGTAGTTCTGCTTCCACAACACTCAGTTCATTTAATAGCTAAAGTATAAGATAAATACTGAACTGAATATCCTTGTCCAAATTAAGCTATACAAAACATTTCCAAGAATCATAAATGAGAAAAGATACTGAAACATCACACAATAATATGCTAAAATTAATTGTTATTTAATAAGTTAGAAGAGGAAAGTACTGAAACAGTACAAAAAACACACAAAGAATTTTTCTTCATAGCTGTAGAAAGTTTCTTGTGTCTAGACAACTGTTGCATAAGACAGAGAAGTGCTTTAGATTAAAATAGACATTGAAACCATATTAAATAAGACATTCTGGATTAAGATGTTCTGGAATTGCTATTTTTCAAAAACGACAGCACATTTTAAAGACAATTGGAATACATTCTCCAATTATTAAGAAAAAAATAAAAGTACGGTTGCAAACAACAGGCTCTTATATAGCATGTTTGATCCACAGATCTCCAAGGACTGCAAAAGGGAAGTTAAGTATTGGCAGCCCCATTTTACAGGTAGGGAAATTGAAGCACAGGTAGTTAAGTGATTTGCACAAAGTCACACAGCACCAAACCTAGAAGAATCCAGATCTCCTAACTCCCAGGACAGTGTCTTACCCATCGGACACATGCCAGTCAGATAAACATTTAATATCAAGGTAATAATTTCATATTTATAATGTGAGGGGGAAAATCTACTCGAACACCACAATATGTTTCTTTGTGCAGCATGCCACTGTTCTGCATGTGGCTTTGTTACACAAACTACAAGCCTACTTGTTAGACACCTACCATTTATGGAAACATCACATTATAGCTTTGTCCTGGCATACATAAGAACAAAGTAATCGCTTTGTTACCTGTATAGCAAAGTCAATAAGCCCATTGATATTGAGTGCTGGCTCCATAAGATCAAAGATAAGTTGTATGTGGTGAGCCAAAGGAAGATGGTATGATGTACCTGAAGCAAAGCTAGTTATTTGTTCTAGAACATTACTGGAGATCTGTGAAAATAAAAACCATCTGTGTATTAAAACATTATAACAACGGAGTATTTCTCTTCCTAAATATTAACACTTCTAACATCAATTTAGGTAAGTGATTTTCGATAACTGTTTACTAAAGCATCAGATAATAAAAGCACCTTACAACATGTCAATGCTCTAGTAACTGATAACTGAGCAGAGGTTTTTTGTTTACTGGTTTAGTACAATGTATATTCAATTCTGACCCAGTTTTGTGTTCTATGCCAGCAAAAACAAGACAAAAAAATGTGTTAATTTGCTTTGTGGCCTAAATGGATCAACTTATTCTTAATTTTTGCAATTACAAGATTTTTAAATCTATTGAATTTATGCCCACTTTTCTTTTATGATTTGTTTTCGGTGCCGATCTCAAAAATATATTTAAAGGAAACGTTACTGGCATTAATGGCATTTTATAGTGATAATCAGCACTAATCACTTTATCACTAAATGTTGAAAGTCTATGTTGACAAACTAGAATGTTTTGAATGGAAACAAATTTGCAGTTCTTGATAAAAGTCTCTCTGTGGAAAGCCCACATGTAATTTAAAACAATTCACACATTATTTGTGTTTTGTAGTTATTTACTAAAGTAGCTTTGATAGCAGAAGCAAAAATAAGCTAAAAATGTTTAAATTCTACAAAAAAATTAAAATCAAGTGAAGATTTAATCTCTCTCTTTCTCTAGCTCGCTCTCTCACACACGCATATTAAACAGAAACATGGAAAAGATTTCACCATCTTTCATGAAAAAAATAGTTAATGATAATTTGCACCCTAGACCAATGAGTGGCATACTGCACAAAACTGATGAACTGAAAAGAAGCATTTAATTTAGTAATGAGCAATAAATACAACACAGTCAATTAATAATCTATGCATAGAGATAGCTGAATATTATAGCAATAGTTCCAAATATTTCATACGTACTGTATAATATTCATGACATTAGTAATAGCTTCGCTAACATCTTGCCAATACAAAATAAACAATTTGGAGAAGGTATTTAAAAAGACTGAGGCAGCATTCCACTTGCCTTTAAAGTACTAGTGCATTAAAAATTAATACTATGTATGGATCAGATTTTTTTATTATATCATTTTCTTCCTACTTGATATGTAAACAGCGCAACTTAAATGGCTACAATGTTATACAAAGGTAGTACCTGAGATGTCACCTGATGTTGATCAAAATAGGACAGTTGCTGCAGTTTTGTGAACACAGTCTCCAGAGTTGGAAATGCTTCTTGTTTGTTCTTCCTGGCTTTTTGCCCTTCATCCCCAACTTAACAGATAAAACATTATTTTGGTCATTTTATATTTAACAGAGCCCATGTAATTTTGCATTTTTACTGCTTCAAAGGCAAAATAAAAAAAAAATGTAAATGCTTGGTTCTATAGGACCACATAAAACACCATTCACACCAGTTTTCCACTGCGCTTAGAAAAAAACATTTCACAGCATATAACATGATGCAACTTCGGGGAAAAACATTTTAAAGTCATTCAAGTGTTAAGGAAAAAAAAAAGACATTTAGCAAGGGCCAAAAATATTTAAATAATTTTCCTAAAATGGTAGTAAACATAAATCTTTCCAGGCTGACATATTGTATTCCAGATTTTAGCCTGAACATAATTTTTACAGCCAAGTTATTAATATGGATAGAGAGACATATAGTTGAAATGACTTTAACTGTACTGGTGCAGTTATAAGGCAGATCTATTCTAGGTATTTCATGCTGTAGGTGTAGTACCAGTATTTGGTTGATTGATTATGAAGGAAAGAAAGTCAAATTATATGATACATTTTGCATGGCTCTAACCAGAACACTCTACACAGTCCCTACATTATGCATTACAGACTCTGGAAAGCTCAGTATTTACCCCCCGTTTCAGTAGTACTTTTCTTATTCAGGATTTTCAAGATATCTTTGGTAATCTTCTTCAGTTGATGCCTTGCCTCATCACGCTCTTTGCCAACACCATAAAGAAGAATCATGCGCTGGTTACATTCATGACTAGAAGATTCATCCTGAGAAACAAGCAAAGCAAGCAAATAAAACAACTTTCATTTTCTCTTGTTGATTGCTATTAAGGAGTAAGGAGAAACAATTAATTCTCTTTCCAACACTAAGTACAACCTGGATTTACTTACATAGTACAGATTAATTTTGCCAAGGTTGGAGATGCCAGGTGCATAGCATTTTTGAAACTCAAATCACTTAAACACAGATACATAAATATGAACTTTTCAGTATTCACTTTAGCCCTTGCCAACTCTCCCTATTCACCCTCTCCCATACTGAATACTGAGCAGCGAGATCTCAAAAGCAAAAACAAGCCCTAATGAACCTGTGACCCAAGAACCTATTGATGCCAACTGGCAAATGGCACAGGGATCCCCTGGATTCACCAAAAGGGGTCATGTAAGGTCTCTACAGAAAGTGTGGGTCATCATAATCATTGTGAGATGTATGTACAGAAAATACGTGAGTAGTTATGTATATATGCTGAAAATTACGTTGTATAGGCCTTATAGTTAAAGGCAGGTCACTCAAAAGTAGCATGCTTTGAGATAAATGTCTCCCACCTTCTGTCTGGAGAAGTTTATCTCCCTGGTGGACCATTATGTATTGTGTGTCTTACAATGGAAGTCTATTAGCATCAGAGGTGCCGACTCCGTGGGTGCTCCAGGGCTGGAGCACCCACAGGGAAAAATTAGCGTGTGCTCCACACCCACCCGCAGCCAAGCGCCCCCCTCCTCCGCCCCCAGCACGCCACGTCCCTGCTCCTCCCCCGCCCCCCACCGCCTAACAGCTGTTTGGAGGTGCTTAGGACTTTCCGGGAGGGAGGGGGAGAAGCGGGGACGCAGCATGCTCAGGGGAGGAGGTGGAAAAGAGACAGGGCAGGGGCGGGAACTTGGGGGAAGGGGATGGAATGGGGACGGGAAGGGAGCAGTACAGGGGCGAGAAGAGGCGGGGCCAGGGGCGGGGGGGGATTGAGCACCCACCATGCAGAGGGAAAGTCAGTGCCTATGATTAGCATACTGAGTCAAATGCTAATGAACAACTTGTGGAGACTTCAGAAGGAAATTAACAGGAAGTGGAAAACAACAGGAGATTGGGGGGCATCCTGGTTTCAGGTGAAGATCAAAGGTCTGGTCTGGCGTACCTTGAGATGCAGAGAGACACCCTGGCATCCTTCAATCTGTGATGACAAGCTGCTAACAGGCTTGCTATTATGTAAGGAGTATATCAGCCAGCCTAGTTGAAAATGCTGGGGAAAGTATTTGGGACAAGCTAACTTGTAGGAGATCGAGGAATGCCTTGTGAGTTAAGTTTAGGCTCTAGAAACAGGGTTATGATTTTATTTTATTTGTAACCATTTGCTTCCAATATTTTTACTTTCCATACTTTCCATGTATGTACACACACACACACACACACACACACACACACACACTATGTGAAGTTGAGTAGTGATCCCAATTGAATCTTGTAACGTGATGTGTACTATTCATTTGGGAGCAGCAAATTTGAGATTTCTGTTAGTGTTCAGCAGATTAGAGGCTGGGCACTCCAGAGGGATCCTCAGAAGACTCGGGGGTTGATGTGTGCCTATCGCTAACCTGTGGAGAGAGAGCAAGTCCTGTGGAGGCCTGGAAGGGAGTGTTTGTGTTGCCAGAGGCTGGTGGCATCATAGAATCATAGAATATTAGGGTTGGAAGAGACCTCAGGAGGTCATCTAGTCCAATCCCCTGCTCAAAGCAGGACCAACACCAACTAAACCATCCCAGCCAGGGCTTTGTAAAGCTGGGCCTTAAAAACCTCTAAGGATGGACATTCCACCACCTCCCTAGGTAACCCATTCCAGTGCTTCACCACCCTCCTAGTGAAACAGTGTTTCCTAATATCCAACCTAGACCTCCCCCACTGCAACTTGAGACCACTGCTCCTTGTTCTGTCATCTGCCACCACTGATAACAGCCGAGCTCCATCCTCTTTGGAACCCCCCTTCAGGTAGTTGAAGGCTATCAAATCCCCCCTCATTCATCTCTTCTGCAGACTAAGTAACCCCAGTTCTCCCAGCCTCTCCTCGTAAGTCATGTGCTCCTGCCCCCTAATAATTTTCGTTGCCCTCTGCTGGACTCTCTCCAATTTGTCCACATCCCTTCTGTAGTGGGGGGACCAAAACTGGACACAATACTCCAGGTGTGGCCTCACCAGTGCCGAATAAAGGGGAATAATCACTTCCCTTGATCTGCTGTCAATGCTCTTACTAATACTGCTCAATATGCCATTGGCCTTCTTGGCAACAAGGGCACACTGCTGACTCATATCCAGCTTCTCGTCCACTGTAATCCCCATCCTTTTCTGCAGAACTGCTACTTAGCCAGTCGGTCCCCAGCCTGTAGCAGTGCATAGGATTCTTCCTTCCTAAGTGCAGGACTCTGCACTTGTCCTTGTTGAACCTCATCAGATTTCTTTTGGCCCAATTCTCCAATTTGTCTAGGTCACTCTGGACCCTATCCCTATCCTCCAGCCTATCTACCTCTCTCCCCAGCTTAGTGCCATCTGCGAACTTGCTGAGGGTGCAATTCATCCCATCATCCAGATCATTAATAAAGATGTTGAACAAAACCGGTCCCATGACCGACCTCTGAGGCACTCCGCTTGATACTGGCTGCCAACTAGACATCGAGCCGTTGATCACTACCCATAGAGCCCGACAATCTAGCCAGCTTTCTATCCACCTTATAGTCCATTCATCCAATCCATACTTCTTTAACTTGCTGGCAAGAATACTGTGGGAGACTATCAAAAGCTTTGCTAAAGTCAAGATATATCACATCCACCACTTTCCCGATGTCCACAGAGCCAGTTATCTCCTCATAGAAGGCAATCAGGTTGGTCAGGCATGACTTGCCCTTGGTGAATCCATGTTGACTTTTACTGATCACCTTCCTCTCCTCCAAGTGCTTCAAAATTGATTCCTCGAGGACCTGCTCCATGATTTTGCCGGGGACTGAAGTGAGGCTGACCAGTCTGTAGTTCTCTTTCTTCCCTTTTTTAAATATAGGCACTATTTTTGCCTTTTTCCAATCGTCCAGGACCTCCCCTGATTGCCAAGAATTTTCAAAGATAATGGCCAATGGCTCTGCAATCACATCAGCCAACTCCCTCAGCATCCTTGGATGCATTAGATCTGGACCCATGGACTTGTGCATGTCCAGCTTTTCTAAATAGTCCTTAACCTGTTCTTTCACCACTGAGGGCTGCTCACCTCCTCCCCATACTGTGTTGCCCAGTGCAGCAGTCTGGGAGCAGACTTTGTCTGTGAAGACCGAGGCAAAAAAAGCATTGAGTACTTTGGCTTTTTCCATATCATCTGTCATTATGTGACACTATGTATCAGGGAGATGGTCCACAGCAAGCACAGACAAGACTTCTTCATGCTAAGTGCAGGTGGTAGTGAAGTGCCTCACGACCCTGGGTACCACAGGGAAGCATCAGAGCATTTGTGCCTCCTCAATAACACTTGGTCAGCATCTGGACAAACTTTGCACTGGTGCCTGTGCCACAGACTCTTACAATCACCCTGTAAGCAGATGTGACTCAGATTCTCCACCACACCAAACTGTTTTATATCAGTTAGGACTGCAGTGAGCAGTAGTAATACAGACATTTCCTTCTGTATTGATACAACAAAGATAAAAGTTTTAAGCTTCCTGTCCAAAAACCAGCACAAATATGGTATTAATAGCCATTGATACAACTGAAAAACCACATAAATCCAGTGATAAATCAGTGCAATAAGACTTTATCCTTTAAGCTACAACACATTCCATAGAAAGTACATGTGCTTTAGGATCCTCTCCAAACAATCTAACATGAGTTTACAGGAATGCTCTATTAGTGCATTTTAGAGGAAATGCCATTTGAAACAGGAAAAGACCTTGATGGGCAACGTTCCAAAGAAATAATCTGATTAAAGAAGCAGCATGAGCGAAAGGAAAGCACACGGGCCTGGAAACGAACCCTAGCACTCCCACTTACTTGCTTCATGGTTGCAGGCAAGTCACTTCACCTTTTTTAGCCTCAATTCTCCCATCCATAAAAAGGGGATACAATGACTTTCCTACCACATAGGGTGTTGTGCGTATTATCATTTGTACAGTGTGCTGAAGTGCAGTGCTCAGAGAAAATTATATGAATGATCATTGAAACACACACAAAGCAGACCTGTTCATTCTGTGCCAGGGGTCTCAAACACGCGGCCCGCGGGGTGATTTTCTGCGGCCCGCGAGCCCCTCGCAGCCCCCCCGCCCTCCCCCAGTGTTTACCAGAGCGGGTCCGGCCGGAGGTGCACCGGGAGCAGGGTATGCTCCCTGCCTGCCCTGCCCTGCGCAGCTCCGGGAAGAGGCTGGAACGTGGGGGTAGGGAGGGGGCAGAGTTGGGGTGGGGATTTCGGGGAAGGGGTTGGAATGGGGGCAGGGAAGGGGTGGGAAGAGGCGGGGCAGGGGCGGGGCTTCATGGAAGGGGTGGAGTGGGGGCAGGGCCAAGGGCAGCAGGGGGTGGGGGGGATGGGTCAGTAATGCGGCCCTCGGGCCAATGTACTAGTCCTTATGTGGCCCTCATGGTCATTTGAGTTTGAGACCCCTGTTCTATGCAGATATCCTTCATTTATAACCCTGTTGGCCTGGTCTGTTTCAAATGCATACTGCAACAAAATGTCTTAAAAGCAGCATTTCAACAGCTGTTTAGCAGACTGGTTCAATATCACCACCCATCACATTTTAATAATTGCCTAGAAGAGCAGATTCCGCCAGAACAGTGCTGTGCTGGAATAACTTTTCCCTCATTATTCAGAACTGCAGAAAGTTCAAACAATACACACTTTACTTGGACTGTCATTTGCTTCTGTTATAATGATTTAATATGCTTTCATAGAATCCGTTTGTTAAATACACAGATCAGTCGAACAAGTCTTACCGTAGTGATCTTATTTAAGATAAGGTGAAATAAAAGTTTT